TATACAGCAATGAATGCAGAATGGCACCGGCTATAGAGGAATACAACAAATCCCAGCAATAGTACATTATAGCTGGCGGTATTCTGCATTGCGCTGTATAATGTAGTATTGCTAGGTGTTGTAGTCCTCTATAGCGAGAGGTATTAGGCATTGCACCACTGTATAATGTATTATTGCTGGGATTTGTTGTACTCTATAGCTGGGGGTATTCCGCATTGCGCTGTACAATGTATTATTCCTTGATTTGTAGTCCTCTATACAGCGCAATGCAGAATACCACCAGCTATATAGGAGTACAACAAATCCCAGCAATACATTATACATACAGCAAGGGTGTGGAATTCGTATCGCCCGACGCCCGGGACATGTAGTTCCGGGCGCCGGGCAAGCGGGGACGGAGCGGGGACTAAGCGTTGAATGAGATGGGGACAGAGCAGAGGGCGTGACGGAGCGAGGGGCGTGGTGCCGTGACGGAGCGGGGACGAAGCTTTGAATGAGATGGGGACGGAGCAGAGGGCGTGACGGGGGTCTGCAGCTGTCATCCGCCCACACCTGCTCCTCCTTACTACTTCTCCCCGCGTCCCTGTGCCGATTGTGAATTTGGGCGGGCGATGAGCGGGGAGGAGGTGCGGCGTGTGGATGCGGGCAGATCTGGCAGCGGCGAGCGTGAGGTGGGGAGGAGGTGTGGCGCGCAGTGTGTGTGGAGCCGTGAACAGGGCCAACCAATCGGAAGCCGATTAATCGATGATTGAAAAAGTTGACAACTTTTTCAATAATCGATTATGTCGATTAGTTGCAGCCCTAATTTGCTGTCCCCTCAAAATAACTCAACACACAGCCATTAATGTCTAAACAGCTGGCAACAAAAGTGAGTACACCCCTAAGTGAAAATGTAGAACAGTTAAAGTAGAATTAAACCAAGAGGCTTCATTTAGGGCCAGTTCACACCACAAAGTCCACGTTCCAGTGTTTGGCCTCTGGAACGCAGGCCGGCTCCCTGCGTTCAGGGGCGGGAGGGGGTTGTGGCGGTGCATTGAATTCAATGGCACCGCAGCCTCGCCCCCGGCCCGCAGTGCGATCTGCAAGCACTATTTTTGCCGGTCGCACTGGACCGGAAAGCAGACACTAATGTGCCTGTGTTCCGGGTGCGGGCAGGGGACATGGCTGCGGTGCCATTGACTTCAGTGCATCGCTATGCCCCCTCTCGCCCCTGAACACAGGGAGCCGGTGGGTTTGCTTTCTAGAGGCCGAACGCATTGGAACGCGGACTTTGTAGTCTGTTTAAACAGCCCCGATGCTGGCGACGTACACTGTACGTCGTCAGTCACGAAGGGGTTAAGGTAAGTTCTTAAAGCAGCATGGGGGGGGGATGTGACTTAAAATTCCATTAAAGATTTATCTCCTGAGTTTAGTGTCACTTTAACTTCTTACTCCTACATAACCATGGTTTAGAAAATTGTGAGCCCTTCCAAGTGTATTTTTTATCTTCCCTAAGTTTTGTTCAGCCTAAATGTGTTGCATAGTTGTAATGGGTAACACTTCTTCTGTCTTCCCAGTTTGATGTTGGCATACCCTCTATGACAAAGTGCTGCAATCAGCATGACCGCTGCTATGACACATGTGGCAGCCTGAAGAATGAGTGTGATGAGCAGTTCCAGAGCTGCCTATCCAAAATATGTAGAGATGTACAGAGGACCCTGGGTATTGCAGAGACTGTGAAAGGTAAGTAGCTCCTGTTATATTTTCTTCTGGTTGAAATGAAGTGAACCGCATATACGCACAGCAATGCCTGACAATGGAAGTCACCTCCAGGCCTTATAAAGATCATACAGGCTGTCACAGAATTGCTTTTGACTCATGATGGTCATATACACTGGAGCTCTTTATCCTCTCCGCACAAGCCCAGCAATACTCTGGGACTTGCTAATTAACAAAAATTAATAAAAATTACAAGGTATAACAGCACAAAATGACATTACCAACAATCAGTAGCTGGAACATTCAGGGTCTGAATTTGATCAGCCTTTGGCTCCAAAGTATATGATCCAGACTTCAAACATAGACTGCACAACATCGACATACAAATCTTGCTGGAAACATGGAACTGGGCACAGGATGAATCACAAGCACCTATTGGCTACAAAGAATTTTCTGTATCCAGAACAGATGGAACTCACGGGCATCAAACTGGCTGAGGGGGAAGGGGGGGAGAAGCCGGCGGCTGTTGATAATGCGATGTTGCGGCCGTCGTTAGGGTGCCAGCGTGATGGTATTAGGCTAAACTGGAACAATCAATGTGTGTCCAGTGCTGGCAGAACTAAGAGGCACGAGGCTGGCGGAGGCTGGGTCTGTGTGGAGCGAGGAAAACGAGGCTACGCGTTTCGAAGTAACTCACTTCTTTTTCAAGCCAGGGAGGGGGAAGAGATGGCGGGGAAACTTTTTAAAGGGAAGAGAGGGAAGGGTTCAATACTGGGTGTGGAAAAAACAGCCTATAGAGAGGCAGGGGGCGGGCGTGTGGGCGGACCAATGGCCCTGGTGTGTTTGATGAAGGGGAGTGTAACGTGTTTCATTGGGAAGATGCCGAACAGATGCTTTGGAGTGCAAGCAATTGCTCGTGGGAGGAAGATGTGAAGTATTCCCCCCCTTGGACCAGACAGTCTAGCATAACCTACAGAGAGGTAATCAACAGACCCGACATCAAAGAGCAGCTAGCCAACTTACAAAACAACACCTATGTATTAAGTCCCCAAGTGGGGAACCGAGCAGCAAAGGACCTCCCCAAAATACTAAACACCACCGCAGAGACATCCAACATTAAAAAAAAGTCAACTACATGAAACCATCCAATAAACAACCCAATAAATGGTTTGACATAGAATTCAGGACACTAAGAAACAACCTACAAACAGTCTCAAATAAAAAACAGAGACCCTGACAATCCCGACCTGAGGATCGCTCATGGCGTCCTACAGACAAGTTACAAACAAATCCTCAAAAAGAAAAAACAAAACTTCACCTCCAAAAATCTCCAACAACTGGAAGAGGCTCTTCAGGAAAACTCTTTCTGACAAACCTGGAATCAAATAGGCTCAGGATCTAAGAAAAACAACCTCCACATCCAAAATGGCAACATCTGTCTCAACTACTTCAAGAGCCTGTACAAAGACATTCCCAAACAGGAGCTAACTGTGGAACAAGACCACATCATCAGAAGACTGAATGAAATAGAGGATAAAATCAAGGATTTCCAAAACCCGTTAGATACACCCATTACACTCCAAGAAGTAGCAGAGAAAATTCCAGATCTGCGAAGTAAAAAAAACCAGCGGGATGGATGGAACCCTTCTACAGATGATTAAACACAGTTCTCCAGATGTACATGCCTCAATATGTAAAGTCTTCAACCTGGTCCTGAGTGTGGGGTACTACCCTCAAGTATGGAACCATGGCCTCGTAACACCCATCCATAAGAGTGGAGACCAGTATGATCCAGCCAACTACAGAGGGATATGTGTCAGGAGCACGCTGGGAAAATTGTTCAATAGTATTCTGAACAAAAGAATCCTCACCTTCCTGACACAGCATAATGTCCTCAGCAGAAGCCAAGCAGGGTTCATGCCAAACCATTACACTACAGATCACATCTACACCCTGCACAGTCTTAACTACCCTAGTGTGCCGCGGCACAGTGGTTGAAAAACGCTGGTCTTAACAACCATGTCCACAATACAAAACATGGCAAATATTTTCCCTGTTTTGTGGACTTTACGAAGGCCTTTGACTCAGTGTGGCACCCAGGCCTGTTCCTCAAACTACTGGAGAGAGGAATAGGAGGGAAAACATATGACGTCATCAAGAGCTAAAGAGTTATCAAGTCATCAAGAGTTAGACAGGGCTGCAGCTTAAGTACAACACTCTTCAACATTTACATCAATGAACTGGCTGAAGCTCTAGAATCCTCCTCAGCACCAGGACTAGCTCTACTTGACACCGAGGCGAAGCTCCTGTTGTATTCAGATGGCCTCCTATTACTGTCACCAACAGAAAGAGGTCTGCAAAACAGCCTGGAAGTGCTGGAGAAATACTGTGCTGCATGGGCACTACCCATCAACCAAAAGAAAACAAAAGTCATGGTTTTCCAAAGGAAGAACACAAAAACCAAGAGTTCTTTCTTCACACTAAACAACTGCACTCTTGATGCATCCAACAGTTACACATACCTAGGCCTAGAAATGAATCAAACAGGAGGTTTCAAACCAGCCATCGAGGCCATAAGAGACCAGACATGTAGAACCTTCTATGCCATCAGGAGACGACTCTAAAAACTAAAACCACCTGTAAGAGTCTGGCTTAAAATCTTTGATAGTGTCATCACCCCAATCCTCCTTTATGGCAGTGAAGTATGGGGCACCATCACCTATTCAGACCAACCCAGATGGGACACCAGCCAAACAGAAATATTCCATCTGGAATTCTGCAAGCACTGCCTCCAAGTCCATCGGAGTACCTCTAACAATGCTTGCCGGGCTGAGCTGGGCAGATTCTGTTTACTGCTTCCAGTACAAAAGAGGGCACTATCATTCTGGGACCACCTAAACATCAACAGCCCCAACTCATACCACCATAAAGCCCTACTGGCTAACAAGGAACACTCCAAACCATGCGGGCTGCAACAACTTATCCATCCAAAGCTCCCATGAATGCAGACTGACAAAATATCAAATAAAAGAATGTAATGAAGGATTCTAAAGAAATCTATATCTGAGAATGGAGAAATTAAATGGCAAACTCCCAGAAACTCACTACCATTCATTACAGAGAGAATATAAACTGCCAATCAGGAAGGCAGAAGGCGGGTAATGACGTGCCGCCCGGCTTTCTGGTTGGTTAGGAAGCCACACTGCTTAGAAACAACTGAAGCCAGCCCTCCTAGCCAGTCAAGAAGTCGGAAAGCGGGTCATGATGTGCCACCCGGCTTCCTTATCGGCTGGGAAGCCGGCTTCACTTGTTGCTAGGAAGCCAGGCATGCCCAGAAGCCGGTGTTCTTTCACTAGAACACCAGCTTCACAGGCAATCAGGAAGCCAGGCGGCGGGTCATGATCCACCAACCGACTTCCTGATAATCGGGGCACAAGACACCGGTACTCGATATCGGCGAGTACCGAAAAAAGAAATATCGGCACTCGTACTCGATACCGAAAAACTGGTATCGGTGCATCCCTAGTCCCAATACTAAACTTTTTGTGTATATCACATATAACCTCAAATCGTTTAACCCCTTCATGACTGAGGCCCTTTTTTCATTTTTTGCACCCATGCTATATTCCACATTTTAGGCCTGAAAATGACGTAAAACCCCCCAACATTATATATTTTCTGAATGCCAAGACCCTATAGAATAAAATGGTGGTAGTTGAAAATTTTTATGTCAGGAGCCCAGAACTGACAGCCCAGGGACCGGAAGTGATGCAATCTGCATCGCTCCCGGTCCCATAGAACGGGGAGGGGATCGATGAACGGAAGTTCGTCGACCTCCTCCCCAGCTCCCCGCGGACACAAAGATCGCCGGTCCCGGGCCCGTAGGAGGGGCAACGGAGCCCGGGAAGCACGGGATCGCTTCTTCGGGACGCAGAAGCGATCTGGCAACAGGTAAGTCGCCAGGATCGCTTCTGTTGTAAAGCCGACAGTCGGCTCTACAAGTTTAAACAGACTCCCGGCGGCAAAAGTCACCGGGAGTCTGTTTAAACAGCCCCGATGCTGGCGACGTACACTGTACGTCGTCAGTCACGAAGGGGTTAAAGTGCAAATCATTGATCAAATAAATCTATTTTGAATCAAATAGAAACCTAGAGGTACCAGAAGGAGATAATTTAGCGTCCCCCTTCACAAATGTTATGCTCTCTTTTTTGTACATCTGTTAGCTGAATACATCTTGAGGGATATTTCAATGAACTGCAAGTAAGAATTACTTCTGCATCTGAGAAGCATGTAAGCTGAAATTGCTGATCTTCTATTTGTTTCTAGGCTGTCCACTGATTTAAACACTCTTTTTATACTAACATGAAGCTAGAGACGGCTAGATTATTATTATTATTATTATTAATAATATTATACAGGATTTATATAGAGCCAATAGTTTGCTCAGTGTTTTACAATATAAGGAAGACATTACAATCACAATACAATTCAAAACAAGATGGGAAGGAGGACCCTGCCCCTGAGGGCTTACAATCTAAAAGGGAGGGACAAGTGATACATGAGGAGGTAGCTGTGTGGGGATGAATTGTTTGAAAATGTGATAGTTCAGTGGTTAGTTTGAGGTGGGATAGGCTGCCCTGAAGAGTTGAGTGATCGCCTAAAGGCAGTCAGAGTGGGAGATAGACGGACAGATTGGGGTAAAGAGTACCAGAGGATGGGAGAGACTGTAGAGAAGTCCCGGAGGTGAGCATGGGAGGAGTTGACGAGGGAGCTGGAAAACAGAGGAACTCCACGTCAACCCCCCCTTAACATCTATACTAGACCCCATCTAGGATAAGATCTGGTATAGATTTTGGGAAACCACACATTTTAGACTGGGGTGCCTCAAGATTTTGCATGCTTTTAAAGGGTGCCATGACTGAAAAAAGGTTGAGAATAGCTGCTCTAGATACTGCCATAGTAACATAAACACAGCACAGAGGTACACAGGATTTGAATATGCCTTAAACATTCGATAATGCACTGGAAATGTCATCATTGAAGGAATTGTGCCTTCTTGTATGGGAAAAATTGAATTTTCCTAAATCGGATGTAGTTTTTTTTTTTTCTAGCATGTTAGACAACCTTTGTGCTCACAAAGGGAGTGCTTCCTCAGTGGATACCTTCTCCTTATTTTACTTTTTTGCATGTGTATAAGTACTGTGCCTACAAATGGTTGTGTTTTTTTTTATTATTATGCTTACTATACCGATTTGTGTTTACATTCTTGTTGCACTTTCTTATTATTTGTAGTAATATTTCTGTCTTTTCTTTTAGCTTGTGAATCAACAGTAGAACTCCTGTTTGATGCCGTCATACATTTGGGATGCAAACCCTTCATGGAAAGCCAACGAGCTGCTTGCATCTGCCCCTATGAAGAGAAGATAGATCTTTGAAAGCAGGACTACTGGATATTTATTGCAGTAATAAACCTGGATCTGGAACATTTGTCTAAGTGCATTTCAATGCATTTTAGATTTCAAAAGAAGCACATTTTTTGTTTAAGCTGTCGATGGCTTGTGTTTATGATCAATTTGCTAATTGGATTATTCTTATTTAATAGGATTTTCTATATAAAGAAGGGCAGTTTTATGGTTTTTGATTGTAGCCATATTATTTCAGATGGAGCCAGGTACACGACACATTTTACTATATTTCATGGACTGATCAGACAACTTTTACCCTTTTACTGCCCGCCTTAGTATCTCAGGAAAGCTTCTGCTTATCTGTTTGGAATGTACAATCTTGCTTTGTTCTGTACAAACCTACAGGTTTCCCTTTTTAATGCTGCGTCTTGATAAATCTGTGCCTTTTAATTTTTGACATTTCATTGGGAAAATGTGAAGGACATAATAAACCATGCACTTTAATTCAATTCATGTTTTCAACTCTCAGGATGAACTTTTGTTATTGTGTAATGTATAGCGTTAGTGTATCTTGTTTATTTGTCGTTCTATGTATAATTTACTGTACCTTATAATACATTTGGTTTAAAGCTGAACTCAAGGCAGATATAAGCACAAAGTAATGCAGTTCTGTAATTATTACAACATATATTAAATGTATTTTCTTTAATGCAAGCGATGTTATTACCTACATTTGGCTTGGTATTGGCTCCTTTGCATCCCCTGTACAGCAGGACTGACATGTGAGAGGAAGAAGCAGTACATGTAATTTTTCTAGATACTGTAGCCTGAGAAGAAACTGATGAAGAAGATCTCTGCTTAATCAACTTCTTTGGGGGTTTCTAGGTGACATTAAGGGTCTAATAGCCCCCTGATGTTTCAATAAACAGGACATGCCGCTGTATCTGTGTAAATATATCTATAACTCAATAAAGTTAGGTGGAAAAAAAAAAAGTAAAAATTTTTTAAAGTCACATAAAAAAAGCTTTTAATAACACAAAGTTTTTTAAAGTGCACAAACGACGATTGTGCCACACATTTACATATCCCTGGAAACTTTGCAGTGCAAGCAATAATTCTAGGGCCATCAATCACTGTTATCAGTAAACTGAAAACATAATATAACTTTACGGTCCTTTTTTCATTATATAGTAAAAAAAATGAAAACCCCAGTGATGATTAAATATCACCAAAAGAAAGCTTTATCTGCCCCCCCCAAAAAAAATTATATAAAATTCATTTTGGTACATGTTGCATGAATGAATAAATGTCAGTCAAAGTACATCAGCGATGAATACTGAAAAATGGCCTGGACTGGAAGGGGGTTTAACACCGCGGTCTTCAAGTGGGTAAAGTTCAGTGTTGCACGCTCCTGGTGCGACTCCTTCTTCCAATTTCAAAACTAAACATGGAGCAGGTTACAGCTAATACTTTGTCAGTCTTTCTTAACTTTTTTTTCTGTGTACAAACTCAACTGTTGAAATGATTTTCAGGTTTCAAAGAATTCCTGTTAAAAATGTACAGTTCACAGTACAGATAAGTTGTAGATATAATTAAAGAATAAGGAATGTGGCATAGCTAAGGTATTTGACACCTATACCCAGAGTTTCTATTAGGGATGCACTGATACCGTTTTTTCAGTATCTAGTACCGATATTTTTTTTTTCGGTTTGAATACCGAATACTGATACCAGAATTCCCATTTAAGGAAGCCGTGTGGCGTGTAATGGCTCGCTGCCCAGCTTCCTGATTAGCCGGGAAGCCGGGCGGCGTGTAATGTCACCATGCTCCCTCTTCACCAGGTGACGAGGAAGCATGGAGTCGGCTTTCTGGCCAATCAGAAGGCCAGGGGGTGGGTAATGATTCGCCGCCCGGCTTCCTGATTGGCCAGCTTCCCGACCAATCCGGAAGCTGGACGGCGAGTCATTACACGAGTGACGAAGGAGCATGGAGCCTGCTTCCCGGCCAATCAGGAAGCTGGGCAGCGTGTAATGATTTGCCACCAGGCTTCCTGACACTGGAAGTTCCGGTATCGGGATAGGCATTGGGAGCATTTGGGCGAGTACAAGTACTCGCCCAAATACTCGGTATCGGCATTGGTGCATCCCTAGTTTCTATCCCTCTGCTCTATATGACAATCATTTTCAGTGATTATGACAAAACCAACAATAGCCAGAAAACAAGACAAGCTGTCTCATCTACCAACATCCCTACAAAGATTAGCAGACCACTCTGCTCTAGCACAGCTCCTCTTCAAGAGTCATTGTTCCTTTCCAGAAAAACGAAAGGTTTCAAGGTTCCTACTTAAACCTGTTCCCCGTAGCCAACGCAAAAGAGTGCATTTGCTCCATTTTGGACCTGAAAATGCTCAAGGCTGTCATGCAAATCTTAAGACTGGTCCTTCCAGCCTGCCTGCTAAACCAATCCCTGCAGCCTCCACTTCTACCAGGAGTTCTTCTTTAAAGGAGAACTATGGGGTTAAGTCATTTCCCCATAGTTCTCCTTAGGGTAACGGGAGGACACAAACTAGCGTCCTCCCGTCACCCTAGGCTCAGTATACTGTGAGCTGTAGCTCGCAGTATACTGGGACGCTGCAGTATACCGCGAGCTGCTGCTCGCGGTATACTGAGGCGCCGCAGCTGAAGCAGATCCCGACAATTTTCCCGGGATCCGCCCAGCTGCGTGACTGACAGCTGCTCTGCCTATCTAGAGACAGAGCCAGCTGTTTCACCAGGTGACGAGGAAGCATGGAGTCGGCTTTCTGGCCAATCAGAAGGCCAGGGGGTGGGTAATGATTCGCCGCCCGGCTTCCTGATTGGCCAGCTTCCCGACCAATCCGGAAGCTGGACGGCGAGTCATTACACGAGTGACGAAGGAGCATGGAGCCTGCTTCCCGGCCAATCAGGAAGCTGGGCAGCGTGTAATGATTTGCCACCAGGCTTCCTGACACTGGAAGTTCCGGTATCGGGATAGGCATTGGGAGCATTTGGGCGAGTACAAGTACTCGCCCAAATACTCGGTATCGGCATTGGTGCATCCCTAGTTTCTATCCCTCTGCTCTATATGACAATCATTTTCAGTGATTATGACAAAACCAACAATAGCCAGAAAACAAGACAAGCTGTCTCATCTACCAACATCCCTACAAAGATTAGCAGACCACTCTGCTCTAGCACAGCTCCTCTTCAAGAGTCATTGTTCCTTTCCAGAAAAACGAAAGGTTTCAAGGTTCCTACTTAAACCTGTTCCCCGTAGCCAACGCAAAAGAGTGCATTTGCTCCATTTTGGACCTGAAAATGCTCAAGGCTGTCATGCAAATCTTAAGACTGGTCCTTCCAGCCTGCCTGCTAAACCAATCCCTGCAGCCTCCACTTCTACCAGGAGTTCTTCTTTAAAGGAGAACTATGGGGTTAAGTCATTTCCCCATAGTTCTCCTTAGGGTAACGGGAGGACACAAACTAGCGTCCTCCCGTCACCCTAGGCTCAGTATACTGTGAGCTGTAGCTCGCAGTATACTGGGACGCTGCAGTATACCGCGAGCTGCTGCTCGCGGTATACTGAGGCGCCGCAGCTGAAGCAGATCCCGACAATTTTCCCGGGATCCGCCCAGCTGCGTGACTGACAGCTGCTCTGCCTATCTAGAGACAGAGCCAGCTGTACCCGCCCCCTCTCCGTCCGTTCCGCCAGTCAGCGCTGGCGTAGGGGGGAATCCAGCCCCTCCCCTATCACGGCAGAGAGCCGTGACAGGATCGAGAGGTGAGCGAACGCCGGTATGTGTTCGCTCACCTCCCGATCTACTGAGCCGACCTGTGACAGTTTAATTGTCACAGGTCGGCTAGAACTATGAGGTGAGTGAAAAGCACTCACCTCATAGTTCTCCTTTAAGACTTTGACTTTTGTGCAAACTAATTTTCACAGTGAGAATGGCTATATACATAAATACATCATTCGTTAAAACAATACTGCATGGAAACCAAAGAAGATTAAATTCTGTATGTAATACAACCATTTAGAAAAGGAAACGGTGCTGTAAGAAATATGTTCATCAGAGGTCTCTACCACACTGCCCCCTAGTGCTAGATTTTGTAGCGACACTTCCACTGTAGGACTGACAGACTAATAGATTTCCAAAACTAATTAGTGATAGTTTAGTAATATATCTTTTATTTCTCTTGGTTTTGACATGCAAGAGCCTTATGGTAAATATGGTCACTGAAGTCATCACAGTATGACAGCTTAACAGGCTCTAGCTATTTTAATTCACTAAACCCCACCTTCTCTGGTTAACATTGTACCCACCATGTTATTGAATATAAAGGGTCTGTCCACATAAAAGTGCTTTTTTTTTTTTTAGGTGGATTATGGTTGGCTAAGTCAGCTGCCATAGCTCATGGTTTTCATATATCTCAGATACTACAAAAGTGAGCTCTCCCCAAAAGTGGGGATATCAGAGGATTGATTACCTGGTGGATCGGGAGAGGACACTAGAGGAGAGGGATATATACGATAAAATGAGACCTGGCTTTTAACCTTAATAAGCTCAATTTGACTGTTTCACTTTCCTGTCTCATACTTCCTCTGCACAGCCAGGGGGTGAGGGCACACTCACTGTCAGACATTAAACATCTCTGACCGAGTAAATACAGTATCTAAAATCTGGTTTTTACTCCCCTCTCTTAACATGCATTGCCTATCATGGCTTCTCACAATTGTGGCTTCTCTTCTTAAACTCTATTTCCTTTATCCCTCCTCTCCACCTCACACTTTACATATTTCACCCTCTCTCCTACCCTCTCCCTACTACTGCACTCATCACCTCCTGCTCATTCTGAATCCACATGCCAGGTTTACCTCCAGGACACTGGAGCATGTTCGCTCATATAAAACTCCCTCTCATCTCACTTCTCTCACTCTTCTGCTTCTCCTGACTTCAGAGGATATCTCTCCAAATCCTGGCCCTCTCTTTTCTAATACTCACCCACCAAACCGGCACTGCCTTTCCCAGGGCTGTAGCTTTCATGGGGCGAGTGAGGCACCATCACGTTCTCAAACAATTCATCCCCA